ACTGTTGCATGCTACAATGGGGGGAAAAAACACAAGACAGTTAAGCTAATTATCGACAGCCTGTTATTGATGTCCTCATTGATCACTTTTCCATTTTAACCATGGACAAACGTGTGGGCAGATGTGCATTAAATGTACAAGGTCAGATGAGGATTAACCAAAGATGCACTCCGATTCTGCGGTCTCAGTTATTTTGAGGGGGAAGTATTGTAGAGTCATTATCTTAAATGGCATAACCAAAGGAGGGAGAGAGGGAGGGAGAGAAACAGAGTTTGACTTTCACCACCAAGTTAGTGAGTGGTGCGTCAGTTAACTAAGGGTAACGGTAGAATAAACACACAAATATACAGAGTCTATTAGCTTTTTATCTCCCCTCATCTGCCTGATAGAAACAGCAGCCATTTTGTCCCGGTTTGAGTGCATATTCAGGCCTACAGACTGTGTGTAAATGGGATAAAAACACTGTGAAAAAAACACTGCCGATTGTTCTATATTGGATTTGTCAATGAAATTGAAATATTCAAATATATTGGAGTAATTAGATTTCCTGGCTTGTTCTGATTTCAAGTGTTTTTGTAGGATTCAGTCAGGGTGTGGGCTTGCTAATTGATATTGGTGTTTGTTTGAGAAATGAGTCATTGTTTGCCAATTTTTGGCTCTGTCATAGCCATAGCTCATGATTAGCATTTATAGTTGCCAAAGTAACATACTTGATCCCAACCCCATAGTGAGCAGCCTTGCTGTCTACTGCATAGGCTGCTACCTTAAGACAGCAGCATCCTAACTGAGTTGAATCCTCACATTTTGAAACACTCTAATTAGTTAGTTACAACTCCGCATGTCACAGAAAATGCGCTGCTCAAAAGAATGCAACAGTGCCTGTCTACGTTTTCAGCAGTCTTGGTTCTGGAAGTATTTTACCCATTTTATTTTTCCCACAGGGATTTTTAAAAAGTCTTCAGCAAAAAGCTATAAGCCATGAACTGAACTAACCAACTATAAGCATTACAAACTTTGATTTAAAGCACAAAAAAAAAAAAAAATCAGAGTCAGACATGTAATTCAGGCTGTTAATGAGAGAGAAAACTACAATCCCGAGAAACACTGCAGACATAATTGAGATAAAAATTATGGATAAATATAAAACTATTGATTTAAGATGTTGACTGTTAATTGCAAAATATGCATACAAATATTTAAGTAGTTAAGGAGAATATGGGAACCTAACTGTACATTCAGTTTGCTTCATGGGAGTGAATGGTCATTGCAGAGCATTTTTCACAGAATCATGGGTAATGTAGTTTTTCACGAGGAATTCTGTTAAACACAATATTTGAAAAAATAACTTGCAATAATGCAGGCTTTAACTAAAGCATAAACTATCTGATTTAAAAAATGTATACTATCGTTCGAAACCAAGTCCCCTTTGGAGAAAATAAATGGGATTTTTATTTTTGGAACCTGACTATTTCACTCTATACTGTTTAAAGGTAGCAGGTTGTTAAACCTCATACTCTAATAAGCATAAATAATATGCATAGCAGCACGCAAATAATTCTAACAATGTCTTTATTTTTCAGCAATGAATGTAAAAATGAATTAAGTATTTTTTTTATCTACATTTCTCTCATATCGCTAACCATCTTGGATTATTTTTTTGGAACAGAACTACATTTTGGAACAGAGCTATGTTTCCTTTATTTTACAAGTGCAAATACTATATTTAGCCTATTCTTTATTGGTTCTTTGGGTAAGTGTGAGTATTATTGTTCGGTGTATATGAGGGCGTCTGAGTAAAGGCAGGGTGATAAGAATAGAACCCGTGGCGGGTCCACTGTGAAGACCACACCCATCACACACACACACCCTGACCAGGCAGAACTACGCATTTTAGTTCCTGTTTCATGAAGCTATGAACTATTTTTATCCTGTGAATCCACCTCATGATTAAGAGAGTCCATTAACCGCCCAATATACCGTTTCACACTCACACTCACACACACACACACACACACACACACACACACACACACACACACACACACACACACACACACTCACACACACACACACACACACACACACACACACACACACACACACACACACACACACACACACACACACACACACACAAACCTACCATTAATGACAGAGAGCAAGAGTGAGATAGAGACATAGAGGGAGAAAGATATGTGTTATGTAGAGAGGCTTGTGTTTATGAAATTAACTCTCTCCCAGACCCAGAGAGGAGTGGAAGAGGAAAGAGCAGAAAAGTCATTGGGAAAGTTCTCCTTGTTCTCTTTTTGTTCCAACTGGCTGATGTAATCCTGTGAAACAGCAGAACTAGGATTCTCTCACACACAAATGAATCACCTCATACTAAAGTCATTCCTAGAGTGCTTGATAGTTACCATTCTGATAATGCAAACTCGGACAGGGCACACTTAACACACCTGGGTTTCAAACATGCGGTTTCACAACTTGCTCTTGTTTCACAATTCTTTTCTGAATGCCTAATGGTCAGTTATAATATTCTGAAGCACCAAAACATCTGACATTTAATAGCGATAACAGCTTAGTGTGTGGATAATATGACAAAATAAGGAAATGTGAATATAAAGTCGTGTGTAGAAATAAAACTTCTAAGATTAGTGTGCATAGTTAAGTATATATGAGGAATGGTGTGGATATGAAGGGACTTTCTGGATATTTGGGAAGTTAGTAAAGGAATATGTTAGTGTAAAGCAGGCCATAAACACCATTGATATTGAGAGGGACCATATAATTTAGATATGGCCAAATTGCTGCTCTACTACACCTCATTATGCATTGCACTGTATGTTGTTAGGATGACAAAAAGTTAGAAAACGTAACATTTTGGTTGGTCTGCCTCAGCGGTGATTGAGAATGTCAAAATGACTAGTCTTATGAATCAAATAAAGGAAGACGGGCTTTATAATTTGCAGAGGCCAAAATTTAATTCGGTATTATGCTTCAGTTTTATCTGTGAAAGATTGTGAGATGAGACGCATGCGCCACTATATTCTTTTTGATGTCATATAGAACAGACCTTTTAATTTATGCCACTTTTCACTGAAAATACTGGTCTCTGCCATAGCTATCAAATCTCATTTGAGCTTTTCTTTGTCATGATTGTATACAGGACGCACAAGAAGCAATGCCGTTTGGCTTCATTGATGTGCAAATGTATGTTGTGCTTAAAGAGTCTCAGCACATGAACAGAGGTCTGGCTCACAGACAGCTGCTAGATAAAGCAGGATATTACGGCTGAGCTGTGCCTAAATTAAGCTATTTATCCCTTGCACACAGAGTCAAAGCCGGTTAAAAGTCTTTAGTCCAGTAGAAGAGCTTTATGTGAACCACATCAATCAGACTGAAATATATATAGGTATATTGACCTATTTGTTCTATTATT